CTATGTGGTGGTGACATGTGGCAGCGAGATAGCATGCAAGATGGCAACAGGTGGTAGGTAGAGCTAAGGTGGCAGCAACATGTGGTGGTGAAGTGGTGACAGGTGGCGATGAAGGTGAGGTGGTTGATGGTCATCATCGGTGATGAGATTATAGTGGATGGTGGAGGTGAGGTGGTTGATGGTCATCATCGGTGATGAGATTATAGTGGATGGAGGCACCAGGTGACATTTTAATTTTTTTAAAAAAATTAGATTAGTGACCAAAAAATAATTTTCTCCCTAATTAGGGACAAAAAATTTTCATCACATAATTAGTAACAGGGTAGCAACAGAAAAATTCCATTGCTGGTTAGTGACAGAATTTGTTGCTAATTAGCAATAGAATTGAAATTCCGTCAATAATCTAATTAGTGATGTCGTTAATTCCATCGTCAATCAAATTCCGTCACTAATTCTACTAACTAAAAATTTCAATTATAAATTCTATTGCTAATCATGTGTTTTTCTTCTTTGTTTTTTTTTTTTGGGTAGTGAAACCATTTTTCCTAGTAGTGGGAACTTGTGGGATCTCTTTTAGACATGTTTTTTTGGTAAATTTTTTAAAGAGGAATATATTCAAAGGGGATATTTAGTTCGGCGGGCGGGTTGGTGGTTGTAAATAGTGGCTATCTGAGCCTTGGGACAGACCTCCTTATAGCATGGAACGGGCTTTGTAGGCAATAATTTCTCAGTATGAAATTATATTTTCCCACAGGCTTGCAAACATAATTGACCTCAAGAAACGTTAACTAGCCATTATTGCTTCAACGAAGCTTTCTCCTTTTTATGTCATCCACGTTTCAAGGAATATAAAGTAGATGATGATACGGATATGTTAAAGTTCTTTTTAAATTTGCTGCGACTTACCTCACAAGTAGACGCTCAATAGATTATAGGATTCATCATATCATTGAGAACTGATAACTCATTTTATTAAAAGTGCATGAACATAGTCAAAAAATAGATACACAATTCATTAATTTCATATCAAGGACGAAGCCACGCATCTAGTCATTGTAGAATTGGCCATCCATGAAATTATAGTTGTTTCTTAAAATGATAATCATTCACCTAGTCATCACTGACATTTTAAAATATAGCTAGTTATCACTGTTTAAGATTTTACTGTAATTTCATATAATAAAAGTTGTTATTTTCTTAAAGTGAAAAAATAGTCATTGTTCTCTAGGTTATCTGACAAACTCCATTATTTTTATATATTTTGATATCTTTTATAGGAGTTTTGTCAACTTAATTAGTCCTTTTGGTCCTAATTGATTGTTAATTGATTTAATATATTTTATTTTGAATTATTATTTTATAAGGGCAAAATTGTCATATTTTGGTTTAATTGTGAGTAATTGATTTTTGAGGACAATTAATGCTATCTTAATTTTAAATTTTGATTGCAGGTTTTTGGAAGTTTTAAAAAAAAAACAGAGAGAAAAAAAATAAATAAATAAAGCAAAAAATTATAATAATTAAAGGGGGCAGCAAAACGTTGCATTTTGCTCCCATCCCTAATATATGATATTATCATCATCTTGGTGGAAGGGATGGAGGTACACACACAAACAGCAAGAGCAGAGGCGCAGACACAGGGAAGCTGGACGGTGCTAAGAAAAAGAAAAGAGAAAACACAAGACGGAGAGGGAGCTTGGTAGCGAGCAGAGTGACGACGACCAGGGGAGAGGATGGCACCATCCATCATCTTCTTCTTCTCCTTCTTGGTATCAACAGAACCAGCGTGAGAAGGACCACTAAGCTGACGACACAAACAAGAAAAACAGAGATTCAGCGTGAGCGACAGTGGCGAACAGGAGAGCGAACCAGAAAAAAAACAGCAAATAGAGGCATGCGAGAAGCAGGCTCAATGGCGTCATCTTCTTCTTCTTCACTGCTGCCACCAATGAAGAAGAAAGAAATCATTCATCGTCTATCGTCCTCCATGGAATCCTGTAGCAGAGTTCTAGATATAGTAGTCCTCACGGCAATTCGCGGCTAAGGTTGTAATTCTCCAATTCAATAACAATGGCAGGAGCTCAAATCATCAAAGGAGAGTTTTAGTTGCTTTAATTTCCTGCTCAATAATTGTTTAACAATTCTTATGTCTTAGGATAGTTTTCTGATTGTTGGGATAATTGTATTGCTTAATCTAATTATATTTGGAGCTTATTGTGACTGGATTATTGTTTAGCATTTGACATTGGGCTGTTTATAGCTTTAATTTCAATTATAATGTTGGGGTTATGACTTTTGTATTGATTTTGGAGTTAATATATTGTGATTTTTTGAGGTGGCTTGGGATCTTAAATCATATTGTCTCTTACTAACTTTAATTATGTTGTTTTGGATTTAAGAGTTCTAATTAAGTATTGGTTTTTAGCATCCTTAATCCCATTTTATTATTCTGGTTACAGTTAGTAAGTTAGGATTTTAAGAAAATATTTTGTGGCAATTCGAGGTGGCTCGGTTATTGGATTAAAAGCTTAATTATAATTCTAAATTCATTGTTTTAACTCCCGTATCTTTTAGAGTGAGGATTGCCTGCGTTGTTGAATTTAAGGATTGATTATTATCATTGTTATTTGTGTGTTTCATTTTCATTTCTTTAATCTTCATTCATTTTAATCATTTTTATATAAAAACCAAAAAATTATTTTAATTTCAATTTAATTCATGGTGTTTAATTAGAAATTATCAAATCAAAAATCCTTTTTATAGTTTAGGTTATTACTTGCATTTATTTACTAGGATTTAATTTTATTTTCGGCTCCTCAAAGTGAATACGACCCTGATTGTGCACTATATTGCATTAATTCGGTAAATTTTTAGAGTAACCCTAAAGCGACAAATTAAGGGCAATTAACTTCAAGTGACACCATTGCCGAGGAGCCAAGAAATTGGTTCCTTAGTAATTAAGTGTCTAGTAACTTTGATTGGAGTTCATTTTTTGAGCCTTTTTAGTTTTCATTTTTGTTAGTTTTTGCATTTTCTTTAGTAGTTTGCATTTGTTTCTTTTGATTTTTCATAGCATTTCTTTCCTTTGCATAGAAAATTTTTCAAAACCACAACTAAATATCTTGATTTTTCATTCATTTGCATTTTTCATTTTCATTTTCATTTTACCTCTTGCATTTATATTCTCATACACATACACTTGTATTGCACTGTGTAACATCCAAACTTTTAGGCCTAGAAGTACCAGAAACAGCCTGAATTAGATAGGCTACTAGACCCTTTTTTGAGCAGAAGTCCCAAAGATGAGAAAGGAAGTCAAAGCAGTTTCAGGGACTAAACTGCAAAGTAAAAGTTTTTCAGGGGCTTCAGTATAATCAAGGTCAGAGACTCCCGTAAAGTCTCGAAGGCCTAGAGAGAGAAAAGAGACTAGATATAGGCCAAAGGTTGAGCTAGAAGCCTCAAAGAGAGGATTATATAAAGTTAAGTCCAACCAGGGACTAAACTGTAAATTCCAAAAGTTATGACCAACAGGGATAAAAATGGAAGAGTGCACAGAGAATTCCAAGAAAATCCCAAAAAAAAAAGGAAAATAATATTCTAAGGCTCTTCTGTGAAGAGAAAAGATGAAAATACCCCTGAGGCAGCTTCAATGGAATTTATGAGGTTATTACCGGTAAAAGTATACCATTTGAGGTAATTATTTAAAATACAAGAGGCCTCAAAAATGTATATAAAAATGAGATTAAATGGTTAGAAGGTTATACTAATTTATAAAATTAGTCCCGCAACCAAAAGGCCAGTAGAGTGGCTTTAATAAATTAAAGAGCTGGTTTTGCCGATAAAAGGGTATTTTAGTAAATGAATTTTATGCAAGGCTTAAAGGAAGTGTTATGGCCTAAGAAAATTCATAGATACTCTCTAGAATTAAAAGGAATTTATGGATCTGACAGAAAATAATTACAGAGGTCAGAGCACTATCATTATAGAAAAGAAGTTAAACCCGAGTAAAAGTGCACCGATAAAGTGTTAATCAGAGTCTTGCACTTTACTTGGCCCACAAGTCGCCACTTGTCAAGCCTTTAATGGATGGTAATTAAAGCTTTCCAAGTGTCAAGCTACCAATGGAGAGGATCTTGACTTTGGAATGTAATTATATTATGAATTAAGTTAATTAAGAGAGAGGTTTCAAGAAGGCTTAGGCATTTGACACTTGGACTTTCATTAAATGTGGTAGATGAGATATTTTGAGAGCACTAAGGAGCTCATCTCTCCCCTAAATCAGATAGGAATTTCGTCCAAGGCAAAGAGGAGAGGAAAAGAGAGGGTTTTGGAAGGAGAACCAAGGAAAGCTATCAACTTTGGTCATCAATCAAGGATTCAAGGTGAGATCTTGGTTCTAGATGTGTTCTTGTCTTATTTTCCTTCTCTTTTAAGGTTGAAAAATCTGTCTTCTCTCCCTTTTGATGGCTGGTCGAAACGGTTGATGAGTGGGGAAGGGAGTTTGGTTGTTAGATGTTGCTAGAACACCTCAAAGTATGATAGATCCAAGTGGATCTATGTGAAAATTGGAAGAATTACGTGCTGATTTGATGCCTATTTCGAATTAGTTACTGTTCATATCTGGTTCTAAAATTTGGTATGCATAAAGTACACTCTTTGAGATTTAAATCCATGGGTATAACACTTTATTTGGATATGTGTACGATTTATGGTGATTTTTCAAAGTTAGGGTTTGAAATCTGGAAACAGTGTTGAACTTTTGGGAGAGTGTCGATTTCCGTACAATTCCGGTACTGTTTGGCATAGAATTGGTTCCTGAAACTATTTTTGATTTAAATTTAAATTAAGGAGCTTTCAGTGAGACTTGGAAGCACTCAATTTGGATTTTTATAGATTTAATTATGAATTTTCAAAGTTGAGCAAAAAATTCTGGAGTTTCTGCGTGAACAGTACCCGCGAACCAAAATTTCCAGATTTGGTATTCTTGAATCTAAGGCCATCTAAAGTGGTCCTAATTGACAATAAATAGATTTAAGAATGGAAAATGATAAGATTTATATTAGAAAAGTTAGAAAGAAAACCCTAAGACTAAGAGAAAGGGTCGAGGTTCAAGAAAGCTAGTCTTGAACTTTATGTAATCTAATGGTCCTAATAGATTGTGTAATCATTATGGTTATGTTTAGGACCTTTGGAACATCCAAGAGGATGTTTGGTGATGTTGAACGAATACCCACATGGTTGGAAAGTCAAGGGAGTCAAAGGAAAAGTAAGAGGAAAGCTTGAGGTGCAAGGTAGTGAACTTACCCTTTATGTGCTTGACATGGTATGCTCATGTGTTGGTTTGTATTCGTTATTTGAATGATGTTGTGACATGATGATTGTTGCTGGAAATGCTGTTTTTAATATGTTCCCATGGCCATGCATTTTTATACCAAGCATAAAGCATGGCCATGCATTTTTATACCAAGCATAAAGCATGATGGCATGTCACTAGTTAACTTAAGTTTATGAAAAACTACATACCATACACTAGCATCCATCTTGTGCATGTATGTGGTAATGTTTGCTACTGAGATTCCCCCAAATCTCACCCTTTCGTAACCAACCATTTAGGTCAATCAATGATGGGCACTAATGGCATGAGAAGCAAGGAGAAGAAGTGGAGAATTATTGATGCTAATGATTGAGATTATGTTCAATGTATAATTCTCCTATGTTATAATTATGTTGTGAATGCCATGTATTTAATTATAAAGCTTATGGCATGTATAGGAATGTATGAGCATGAATGGGAAAAAGTAAGACCATGTTAGGTATGCCAAAGAAATAAAAAGAATTAAAGTAAAGAGATGTTAAGGGATAAAACATAGGTCATGGAGCAGTTAGTTTCGAGCTTCAGTTTGACCTATCATATGAATGAGTTAAGCTACAAAATTTGGTATAATTATAGTGCACATCTCAAGATTTAAAATGAGTGGTGAATCACCTCATTTGGATGTGTATACGAAGAGATATGAATTTTCAAAGTTAAGACGGAGAATCTGGAAAGTCCAGATTTTGCCAAACGAATAGTAATCTTAATCCAATAAACTGTACATTTTCAATGAGGATGAGTTCAGTTGAATATTTTTCTCTTAAAGAGCATTGAAAGAGATTTCTGTAGAATTTTGGAATACCTCCATACGATTTTTCTAGAAGTAGTTATGATTTTTCAAAGTTGGACCTGTAATCTGAAAACTGGACAGTGAACAGTAATTTTCTGAAAATTAACGTCCAAATTGAAATTTTTAAGTGTAAGACCATCCAACATGGTCTGGAATAGTTCTAAATGAATGCTAAGGTACTATATAAGTAAGGTGTGACACACTGCATTCATCTGTTTTTTTTTTTTTGCTTAATTGCTTCTGGTTGGTTAATTGTTTGTGCTAAGAAGGGGTACGTCTAAAACCCTAGTTCCTTCCAATCCTAAGTTTCAAAGTTCTTTAAGGGAAGTTAGGCAAGACCAAAGGGTAGAAAGGACTAGTGAGGTTGAACTAGACAGTTTAGCTGGTCTAGAGTTGGTGGTTGACTTAGGTGACATAATGGAAACTGTTAACAATCCTAATAGATGAAGAACCATTAGGGAAGCCACTACTTCTGATGCAAATTATGATCCTTTTAATGTTGCATGCCCTAATGTTGATGTCAATTTTGAGATTAAAGGTCCACTGCTTAATTCTTTGCCTAAATTCTATGGTTTGATAGGTGAGGACCTGTACAATTATATGAAATCTCTCTCTATGGTATGTTCTAGCATGAAGCCGGTTGGGGCTAATCTGGATGTGGTTCTTTGGAAGGTATTCCACTTGTCTCTGGAGGGCAAAGTGCGAGAATGGTACATGAGCTTGCCTAGGCATATGGCAGATGCCTACCATAACTGGAACAACCTCAGAAAAGCATTCTTAGAGAAGTATTTCCTTGCTTCCCGGACTTCCACATTGAGAAAAGAGATCTACTCTGTAAAGCAAGACTATAATGAGTCACTTTATGACTACTGGAACCATTTTCAGGACTTGCTTTCTAGATGTCCACACCATCAAATTCCAGATGAGTAGTTAGTCCAATACTTTTATGATGGAGTTAAGACCCAAGACAAGGGGATGTTATATGCTGCTTCTGGGGGTTCTCTCATTGATTTAACTACTGAGGAGGCATGAGAACTTATAAAGAAAATGGCCTTAAACTGTCAATAGTATAACATCAGGGAGTCTATAAATGTCAATGCAATGCATACTAATCCTTCTTTAGTCCACATTCCTCAATTGGACACATTCACTTCTCAAATTGCTGCTTTGACTACACAGTTAAATAAGCTTGCATCTCACACTCCCCTTATTGACACTCAGAATCCTAATTCTATGGAGATGACTGCACCTAGTTGTGAGCATTGTAACTCTATTATGCACATCTCTGCGGGTTGCCCTCACAGATATGAGGAAGTTTCCACCATGTATCAAGGAAGGGCCAATCAATCTAAGTAATGGAACCCATACTCAAATACATATAATGAAGGGTGGAAACCTTATCCAAATTTCTGATGGGGACAAGGTAACAATAGGCAGGTTCAAGAGGGGTTTCAAGGGAATATGGTTCCTCAAGGGTAATCTTACTATGGAGGGTTACAGGGAGAATCTTCTAGAGCCATGTCTACCTTACAACAACTGCAGTCTAAGGATGATGAGCAGTTCTCTCGAATACTCAAGAGTATTGAGGCAATGACTGAGCACATATCTAAGTTTGAAGCTAGATTTACAACCCTAGAGAATAGGATGGAGCAATGGGAAACTAGAACCTCTAATTTGACTTCTTATGTCACTAAGTTGTCAAACGGTATGAGTGAACAGCAAGCCAAGGCTAGTGGTTCAATGCCTTCTAACATGGTGATAAATCCTAAATCTTTGAATGTAATTACATTAAGAAGTGGTAAGGAAATTGGTACTAAGAGAGTGCAATTCAAAGATGATGAAGAGGATTAAGAACTGGTTGATGAAGAGATAGAATTTGAGTCTCCTCCTTCTAAAACCACTCAAAACATTCCCAAGGCTACTCAAGAGACCTCTATTTAATCCAAAGAGCCAATAGAGAAAGGATCACCTTTCAAAGGTGATGAGGTAAACATTTCTGACTTGCCTTTTCCTCATCCATATCTCATGAGTAAGAAAGTTGTTGAAAAGAAAAATAATGATGAGCTTTTTGAAATGTTTAGCAAACTTGAGGTTAATGTGCCATTACTTGATTTGATTAAGAAGATGCCTAAGTGTGCTAAGTTTATGAAAGATCTATGTACAAACAAGAGGAAGTATAGGCATAGTGAGAGAATCTAACTGGGGTCTAGTGTTAGTGATATCTTTAAGCCACAGCTACCTATTAAGTGTAAAGACTCAGGTTCCTACACTATTCCCTGTACCATAGGCAAAACAAACATTTCACATGCCTTACTAGACTTAGGTGCAGCCATAAATGTTATGCCTACCTCTATCTATGAGAGTTTAGGTATACATGCCTTGAAAGACACTAGTGTTGTGCTAGGTCTAGCTAATAGGACTATGAGACATCCTAAGGGCTTTCTTGAGGACATTCTTATGCAAATGAAGGGTCTTGTGTTCCTAGCTCACTTCTATGTTCTAGATATGACTGATGAGATTAAAGCCGATAGCACTTTGATTCTAGGAAGACCTTTTCTTAGAATAGCCCAAACCATAATTAATGTGAAAGACGAGGTCATTACCATGAGCTTTATGGACCAACAGATTACCTTCAACATTTCTGATACTATGAGTCAAGGTTATGCAGATTGCCCTTACTTGGGTGTTAATTTGATTGATTGTGCTATTAATGATGTTGATGATTTGCATGGATCTGAGATGCATGAACATAACTGGTACGATGAGATTGTTGAGCATGATGATGCATTTACTTGTTTATCTACCCCTCATTCTTCTTCTTTTTGCTCATGTTATGGTGACGTGGTATGTGTTAACTCTTTAGAAGTTGATCACCTCCTTTCTATCTCTCATGATTTTGATGCATCATCTTGTCTTAACTGTGATTCTATCTTGAACATTACACTTGATTATAGCCTCGAGAAAAGTGAGTTTGTTGATTCTGTAGGTATTGATGATAAAGGAGCTGTTACACAAGCTACACCGGTAGCTTCTCCTTTGAGTGGTGCTGGAACATTAGAAGAGGCTAGCAGTAAGATTGCTACTGACTTAGTCACTTCTAATCCCACTTTCCTTATGATTTGCTTAATAGTTCTATTGATAAACTTGATACCGATCCTCTTTTTTGTAGGTCATCCAAGAATGGCACTGAGTTGGGAAGTAGAGGACATACACATCATGATGAGCTTATATCTCCTTCCTCAAGCCACATAGACATGCTACTTGTATTGAATGCACTTGACATAAAAGAATTAGTTCCTTCTGTTGTGCAACCTCCTGATTTAGAACTGAAATCCCTCCCCCCTAATTTGAAATATGTCTTTCTTACTGTTGATTCTAAATTGCCTATTATTATTTCCAGTTCTTTGAATAGTTCTGAAGAAGAAAGATTGATTTCTGTGTTGAAGAGTCATAAAAGGGCTATAGGATGGTCTTTAGGGAATATTCCAAGGATTAATCCATTAGTTTGCACACACAAGATCCTTTTGAATGAAGGGTACAAGCCAGTTAGGCAACCACAGAGGAGATTGAATCCTCTCATTCTGGATGCGGTTAAGAAGTAAGTCTCAAAGTTGTTGAGTGTTGGGATCATCTATCCCATATCAGACAGCAAGTGGGTAAGTCCGGTACAAGTAGTACCAAAGAAGAGTGATATCACAGTAGTGAGAAATGAAAATGATGAACTGATTCCAACTAGGGTTCAAAATGCTTGGAGAGTATGTATAGATTATAGGAAGCTGAATGATGCCACGAGAAAGGACCACTTTCCATTACCTTTTATAGATTAGATGTTGGAAAGAATTTCAAGAAAGTCTCACTATTGTTTTCTGGACGGTTTTCTGGCTATTTTTAAGCGCCTATTGCTCCTGAAGATCAGGATAAAACTACTTTTACATGCCCTAAGTATCAAAGAATGCCATTTGGGTTGTGTAACGCTCTAAGCACTTTTCAAAGGTGCATGATGGCGATATTTAGTGATCTTCTAGAGCAAAACATGGAGGTTTTTATGGATGACTTCACTGTTTATAGTGAGAGTTTTGATGAGTCCTTGAATAGCCTAGAGCAAGCTCTTGAGAGGTGTATCAATAAGAAATTGGTTTTAAACTTTGAAAAGTGTCATTTTATGGTTGATAAAGGGATAGTCTTAGGTCACCTCATCTCTCAAAAAAGGATTAAGGTTGATAGAGTCAAAATTGAAGTTATTTCATCCCTTTCTTATCCTACTTGTTTAAAGGACTTGAGGTCTTTCTTAGGGCATGCAGGTTTCTATCGGCGCTTTATTAAGGATTTTAGTAAAGTTGCTTTGCCTCTTTCTACCTTGTTAGAAAAAGATGTTGAATTTAAATTTGATGACAAGTGTAAGCATGCTTTTGACACATTGAAATCTGTGCTTGTTTCACATCCTACTCTCACTAAACCTAACTGGAATTTACATTTTGAGTTGCCTTGTGATACTTCTAACTTTGCAGTAGGTGCCATGCTTGGACAGAGGGAGGAGAAACAATCTAGAGTCATCGCATATGCCTCCAAGACGCTTGATTCTGCTCAAGTGAATTATACCACTACAGAGAAGGAACTGTTTGCTATTATTTTTGCTTTGGATAAGTTTAGACAATATCTAATTAACACTCGAGTGGTTGTTTTTATAGATCATGCAGCGGTTCGATACCTATTTAAGAAGTCTCAGTCTAAACCTAGATTGCTGAGATGGGCTTTATTGCTATAGGAGTTTGATATCGAGATTAGAGCCGGAGCGGAGAATCATGTAGCTTACCACCTTAGTCAATTACCTGAAGGCACACAGGGAGTTGACTCTTCTGATCTTGTTATTGACTCATTTCCTGATTCTGCACTTTTTGCCTTGGCTGCTCATGAGCCTTGGTATTCTAATATAGTTAATTATCTTGTCACTTTCTATGTCTAAATTTCATATTGATAAGCTAAAGAAGGAGGCAAGATACTATATCTAGGATGCTCCAATCCTGTGGAAGCAATGTAGTGACAAAATCATTAGACGTTGTGTTCTAAATAATGAGATCCACTCTATCCTTACCTTTACACATTCTTTATCTTGCGGGGGGCATTTTAGTGCTAATAGGACTGCTATGAGGGTTTTAGAATGTGGTTTTTTTAGCCTTCTCTATTTAAGAATGATTATTCTTTCTACAAGTCTTATGATAAGTGTCAGAGGTTTGGGAGTTTGGGTAGGAAGCATGAGATGCCTCTAGGACCTATGAATTTTTGTGAAATCTTTGATGTGTGGTGTATGGACTTTTTTGGTCCCTTCCCTTTCTTTTGGGTTTTTATACATATTACTTGCAGTAGATTATGTGTCTCGATGGGTAGAGGCAGTGCCAACTAGGAAAGATAATGCTTCTACTATTGCCAAGTTTTTATGTTCTCATATCTTTTACAGGTATGGCATTCCAAGAGCAATCATCAATGACCAAAGAAAACACTTCTGCAACAGGACCATCAAGTCTCTATTGGCTAAAGATGGAGTCAATCACAAGCTGGCCACTCCTTATCACCCTCAGACGAATGGGTTAGCTGAAGTCTCTAACCGGGAAGTGAAATGAATACTTGAGAAGATCGTGAAACCATCTTGTAAGGACTGGAGTGAAAGGCTTGAGGAAGCTCTTTGGGCTTACAAGACTGCCTACAAGACCCCTATAGGCATGTCCCCTTTCTGGTTACTCTATGGCAAGGCTTGCCATCTACCTACGGAGATGGAGCACAAATCTTATTGGGTAATCAAGGCATGTGATGCAGATCTCAAATTTTCACTAGTCAATCGAAAGATGCAACTCCAAGAACTTGAAGAAATAAGACTTGAATCCTATGACAATGCCAGAATCTATAAAGACAAGCTGAAAATGATTCATGACAGACAGATTCTGAGGAACCAGTTTCATGAAGGTGACAAGGTTCTAAAGTTTAAAGCCCGGTTGAAGCTGATGCCTGGGAAGTTTATCACCAAGTGGGAAGGTCTGTTTAGAGTTACTAAAGTATATCCCTTTGACATGGTAGAGCTCGTAAATGAGGAGACCGGTATAACTTCACAAGTCAACGGCCATCTGCTGAAGCACTACCACGAGGATCAAAGACCTCTCTGATCACATGGTTGTTCCCTTCCACCCTACTCTTTTACTTTCTCTTGTAATGCTGGTGATATCTGTTTGCTAAGATAGTTAGGAGTAAGTATGGGAGAGGGAATTTCTCTAGTAGTTGTAGTTGTAGCTGTTTATTTTTGTTTAGTAGTTGTTTGTTTTGTTTCCTCTTGATTCTGCCATCTCTTTTGATCACTTGATTTATACTCGTCCATTTTCTTTTCACATTATCTTATCCTATCTCTCCCTTCTCTCTTCTTCGTGATAGTGATGTGTTATGCTTTGATTTCAAATCGAACTTCACAACTTCCACTTTACCTGAGAGTCTAGGTTAAGATAATGTTGTTTTTCTTACATTAAGGATAATGTATTGATCAATTGTGGGGGAGGGATTGTTGTTGAGTTGTTGAGCTATTTTGCAAAAAAAAAAATTTCCTTTGGATTTGCTCTTATTTCCTAAGTATTACTGCTATAATTGCTCTCTTCTTTGTCTTATTGGTTGATTTCTGAATTGCATCGTATGATTTGAGAGTGATTCTTGGTTAGGAATTTTGCTGCTGGTTTTTATGTCCTCATGCTTTCATTCACCTCAGTGTTCTGCACTGCTGTATGGGCGAGTTGTTATTTTCTCTGCTGCTGACTTTTGACTTTTGTAATCCATGAGCATTTCTTTTAAAATCCAATTGCACAATGCTTATGAAGGATGCACAATTGAGTTTGATTGCATTTGATTTGAGTGATTTCTGTTCTTAGTTGGTTAGCATAGTAGAATGCCTTTGGTGTAGTGTTATTAACCTTGTTTCATAGCTTGACCCATAAGGAGGAAACATCTTGGAGAAAGCCTTGATGGAAGGATTGTTGAGCCATATATTTTTTCTCATCTTGTGTGATTTTCACCAAGTTTTGGTTAACCTCTAGAACTTGTCTCGATTCACTTTCAAAGCTATGTCCAAACCTAAAAAGGCAAAGATATAGACATTAATGATGTACTTTTCAAAATGAAAAACCAAATGTAACTTATGCAAAACACTTGCTAAAAAGCAATGAATGGAATGAAAGTGAAGGCTCAAAAGGGTGAACAAAGGTTAAATGAAACAGCTTGTGTTTAGGTAAAGGGTTTAGAAATGAATGCCCCTATCATCCTCACAAATCTAGATATCAATACAGCTTTGAAAATGAATCGAGACAAGTTCTAGAGAAAATAAGTTGCAACAAAAGAATAAATTTGAAATAAGGCATTCAATGGTGGTTTGAAGAGCAAGGATTTTTGTCTCAAAAGGTTAAAATCTGCACATTGGTGTTGTTTCATGATTGTACTTTAGCTCACTTTGAGTTGATACTTTATTACTCATGCATTTCACTTGTTAGTCCATTGCATTCATTTGGCCTTGCTTTTCGACATTACAACCCTTCAAGTCCCCTTGATCATAAATCTAAGGTATGCTAGCGGTGGAGATGTTAGAATTTCTACAAGCTTATGGTAGGTGCTAATCTAGGTGGATTGAGTGAAATTTTTCCCATTTGAGAGATGAGTGAAACACTTATAACCTATGTGAGCTCTATTATGTTTCTCTTCCTTTAGCCTGCTATGTTTCAAGTGTTAGTTTCTTCGCACTGAAGCATTCTACAATTATTGATTGATTAGGAATAAAGGTTACTTGAGTTAATTGCACATTCATGCTTAGTCGGCTTATGTTTGCTTGCATTGAATCTCTTTATTGGATTCTTCTTTACTGATGTTTTGCCCAAGAGTGTAAAAGGTTAAGTCTGGGGGAGTTGACAAACTCAATTATTTTTATATATATTGATATCTTTTATAGGAGTTTTGTCAACCTAGTTAGTCCTTTTAGCCTTAATTGATTGTTAATTGATTTAATATATTTTATTTGAATTATTATTTTATAAGGGCAAAATTGTCATATTTTGGTTTAATTGTGAGTAATTGATTTTTGAGGACAATTAATGCTATCTTATTCTTAAATTTTGATTGCAGGTTTTTAGAAGTTTTAAAAATAAAAAAAAAAAGAGAAATAAATAAAGGAAAAAATAATAATAATTAAAGGGGGGAGCAAAACATTGCATTTTGCTCCCATCCCTAACATCCGATATTATCATCATCTTGGTTGAAGGGACGGAGACACACACACGAATAGCAAGAGTAGAGACGTAGACACAGGGGAGCTGGACGGCACTGAGAAAAAGAAAAGAGAGAACACGAGACGGAGAGGGAGCTTGGTGGTGAGCAGAGTGACAACGACCAGGGGAAAGGACGGCACCATCCATCATCTTCTTCTTCTCCTTCTCGGCGTTAACAGAACCAGCGTGAGAAGGACTAGCGAGTTGACGGCACAAACAAGAAAAACAGAGATTCAGCGTGAGCGACAACGGCCAACAGGAGAGCGAACAAAAAAAACAGCGAACAGAGGCACGCGAGAAGATGGCTCAATGGCGTCATCTTCTTCTTCTTCGCTGCTGCCATCAACGAAGAAGAAAGAAATCATTCTTCGTCCATTGTCTTCCATGGAATCCTGTAGCAAAGTTCTGGATATAGCAGTCCTCATGGCAATTCGCGGCTAAGGCTGTAATTCTCCAATTCAATAACAATGGCAGGAGCTCAAATCAGCAAAGAGGAGTTTTAGTTGCTTTAATTTCCTGCTCAATAATTGTTTAACAATTCTTAGGTCACAAGATAGTTTTTCTGATTGTTGGGATAATTACATTGCCTAATTTGATTATATGTGGAGGTTATTGTGACTGGATTATTGTTTAGCATTTGACATTGGGCTGTTTATAGCTTTAATTTCAATTATAATGTTGTGGATATGACATTTGTATTGATTTTGGAGTTAATATATTGTGATTTTTTGAGGTGGCTTGGAATCTTGAATCATAGTTTCTTGCTAACTTTAATTATGTTGTTTTGGATTTAAGAGTTCTAATTAAGTATTGGTTTTTAGCATCCTTAATCCCATTTTATTATTCTGGTTGCAGTTAGTAAGTTAGGATTTTAAGAAAATATTTTGTGGCAATTCGAGGTGGCTCGGTTGTGGGATTAAAAGCTTAATTATAATTCTAAATTCATTGTTTTAACTCCCGTATCTTTTGGAGTGAGGATTGCCTGCATTGTTGAATTGGAGAATTGATTATTATCATTGTTATTTGTGTGTTTCATTTTCATTTCTTTAATCTTCATTCATTTTAATCATTTTTATATAAAAACAAAAAAAAGTATTTTAATTTCAATTTAATTCATGGTGTTTAATTAGAAATTATCAAATCACAAATCCTTTTTATAGTTTAAGTTACTTGCATTTATTTACTAGGATTTAATTTCATTTTTGGCTCCTCAAAGTGAATACGACCCGGATTGTGCGCTATATTGCATTAATTCGGTTAATTTTTAGAGTAACCCCAAAGCGACAAATCAAGGGCAATTAACTTCATTATCTCTCCAATAATTCTCTGGCGCTATCCCTTTGGAGCTCCAGGTACGCAGCCACCAGCAATCAAAGTAGTGGTGACCAACCACGGTTGTAAGATTTCGTTTCTTTTCTTTTTAAAAAAAACTAGGGGTAACATGATATTTTGCGTTCAAAATTAATGCTTAAAAATTCCTGAGACTTTAAAAAAAAATTAGGCATTTCATAGTCTTACTTGTACATATTTCAAATGTCTTTCTAGTGTCATTCTTCCTAAAAAATATTGTAACAACCTCTCGTATTCCCCACAAAAAATTTAGTTGCCAATAGAATTT